AGACAGAAGTGGGCCTCCCTGGTATTCTTGACAATAAACTGTGGACACTGGCAGTGTCCAGTGTCCACACTGGTATAGCCTTCTGAATTGTACCAAGCAGGCAAGCAGAAAATGCTGAGCTCCTGACCCTGTTTTGGGTGTTCCCTAAATGTGATTGTGTTAAACCTAAGTTTGATTCTGTGTGCTAGGTATTACTGTTCCCATTTTGCAGTTGGAACTGCCACTGGGAAGGCTACTAGCAACCCAGCATCAAGTTGCAGGGCTGCACTGGAGCCCTCTGGGTGTCTGGATTTAGTCTAAGGTGCTTTCCCCACATTTTTGCTGACTCTTACTGAGATTGGGATTCATGTGGGATGTTTGGCTCTTGTTTTGAATAGAGCTCCCTGTCCTTAACACATTTGAGGTTTTCATGGGATGATGACATTAACAAAGGAAACATTTATAGAATGGTCATCTGATGGCATTTTGGAGCATATGATTCTTGTCTTTTCCTTTGTGGTACTTAGTGAAGACAGGCATGCAGAGACCCATTTTTGCTTTCAACATCCAACCCTTTTCAGTTGCAGTACAGTTGACAAAGCTAAATGTAACAAGAGTAGAGTAGACTTCTGTGAATTGTTGTTAAGGTTGTCCCAGAGAACGATTATCAGTTGAGCTTAGAGGAAAACTCTCTTAATTGCTCAGTTACAGAGGACCATAAAAGAGGAGGTTTGAAGTGGTGTGCTGGAGTTCATTTGTACTGTCAAGCCATTGCTAAATTGTAAGGAATTTTTCCAACTTTTGGCAGCTTGAAATTGGCCATGCTGGGAGTATTTACACCATGGAAATCATCAAATGCTATAAATAAAATATAAATAAGGGTTTTCTCTCCCTTCACTACTTCACTCAGTTTGCCAGCACCCCACTGGGTTTACATTAGGATTCAAAATGTAGTTTTATGACTCAGAGATAGGAGAGTAGATTTCTCTATCTCTTAAAAAACTGCCAAGATCAGTGCCTTCCTCCTTGCTACCATCTCCCCTTCCCAAACCTTGCTACCTGACTTCTTAAAAATCACAAAACTCCTTAATACCACATCCCAGTGGCCTTTTATTTTTCTCGGTACTTATTCTTCTTGAGTCTTTTTTAGTATTTAGTACTGTAAGATAGCTACTTCTTTTCCAAAATCTTATTAGACATTCTACCTGTTATGACATCTTGCCTCTTGTCTTACCGGAGACCAGGTTCTCTTCTTTTTCCTGTTCTGTAAATGTAGTCATTTTCCAAGATTCTATCTCCATCCTTGCTTTTTTTATTTGTCTTGTTTACTCACACTTCTGGAACTATCTTGTCTGTAGAGAGGACTGAGATCTTGTTTTCTTTCTGGAGTCTTCCTCTGTACTCTGCTGATGTTTCTAATTGTCAGATGTTTGCGCCTGATTCCTCAAATTTGACATGTTCAGATAGGGATCTTATGTGCACCTTCCTTCCCTCAAACTAAGCAATACAAGAAGCTCAGTTCTTTTCCCTGACTTCCTATTTTTATCAAGGCAATTATGTTCTTCTGGTCATCCAGGATCACAGCTGTGGCATTATCTTTTTTCTCTCCTCCAAGCCCCCTTCATTGCCCCTGAATACCAAATCTCTTACCAAGTCCATTAGATTCTAAGTGTAAAACATCTCATCCATTCCCACAACCTGGGAAGCCACCTGGTTCAGAGACTCCTTATTCTCTCCCCTGGATTATTGCAGGCTTGGTGACTTGCTTAAAAATAGCTCATTTCGTTAGTTACTTTTACATTTCCAAAAGGCACAGTCTTGTTTGTAGCACAGCTGTGTCTTTATTATATGTCCTCTCTCACACAGTGGCTTTATTATGTATCCTCGGCCTGACTTCAAAGCCCTTTGCAGGCATTGTGGCTCCCATCTAGCTTTGGAGTCATTTCCTCCCTGTGCACTGGGCTCTAGCCAAACTGAATATTTTGTTATTTTCCTAAATATGTTCCTTGCTAGCCTCCCATTTTCCCATGGCTTGGTTCACATTGTTTTCTCTAACCCCAAACAGATTGTGATCTCCCATCTCTAAAGGTTTGTGGTATTTTCTAAACTTTCTTTATGACATTTACACCATTATTTCATAGTATAGTTATTTGTACATTGTTTTGTCAGCTCAGTGACAGCAAAGCTTTTGTCTTACTCAAATATTTGTCTAGTAGAGCCTAAAGGGGCTATATATATAGTAAACTTCATTAAATTTTTTATTAAACACTTCAACTATTATAAATTTATGCTGACACAAACATTCAAATAAAAAACCTTATAGTTGATTATACATTTTGTAGATGTATGACATGATTTTTTCATCATAAAATATTTAGAAAAGTTCGAATTTGAATAGGACAGTTAGGATTATGAACTTAAATTATATTGGGGAGGTTGGGAATAGGATTCTATTTCTTGACCTTAGATGAACCAACTCATGCTTCACTGTGTTCCCTGCTCTCCAAAATGCCAATGCAGATTTCAGTATTGCAACAAAGAACTTGTTAACAAAAGACTGTAAAGTCCCAGGGGTGGCCTACTTAATAAAAAACAACACGGGATAATACATTTCAGAATTACAAATGTCTCTGAATGAGTACTTAAAGATTTGACCTGTATTATTTATAGCTGTTTCAGAACAGATATTGTTTTAAAAATTGCCTTGACTATTTGTTAGACTTTTAGTCTAAACTCATGGTTCTATAATTCCTTACTCCTGATTGTAAATTATAAAAAAAAAGTTGGGAGGGATGATTTTATTAAAAATGATTCAGTTTGAGATCTAAGATTTTTAGTTTTATTCTTTTTATTGTCTAGTGGATGAACTTATTTTAGAAGTGACCCAAAGAAATGTCACTCTGACTTGTTAAGTAAAATGAATCTAAAAGTACACTTGTAGCTTCTTCAAATATGTTCGATGATGAGATCATATAAGTGTGTGATTCTAGAATGGTTTGTTTCCTGTGTGAGGGAAGGTAGGAAACAATTGATAGAAATATATTACCAGCACATGGCTTGTCTAAAACACTGATTCTCCAACTCTGGGTCTTTAAAGTTATAGGTTAGAAGGCGGGGGGATGGAGGTGGTGGGGTGGAGAGAGGAACAGACTATTAATTAATGTGTTAAAACATATTAGAGGGCCTGTATTGTCATTGATCTAATGGTTAGGGATAATTTGAATCATTTAAGTATCATATATCTAAAATAAAATGATATGTTAGTCACTTAAATTGCAGTTGTATGCAATAATATTTGTTTTGTTTTGTTTTTCCTCTTTCCCAAGAATAGGATTTAAGAACTAAGTTTCCAAGAAAGAAGGCCTGTATTTGCCCAAGTGTTACAATTTCCAATGTGGAAGTTTTTAATCATTCATTGGTAGAGGAATTATTTCACCTCAAATTAACTTGGATATTTATAATAAAAATAAAAAAAACCTCATGGTTTTTTTAAATGAGATAAAATACTATGCTTACATTAGTTTATTGAGAACAGTAATAAAATTATATAAGTTTTCTTTCTCAACTCATCCAGTATAGAGATGGAGCTATTTTAAACAAAATATAATGAAATCCTTTTTACTTATCACCTAATTAGAAATGTTATTTAAATGGCCAAGAGTGTGTGGAAATTGGCCAGACTTCTGCATATTTTCTTCAGAATACTTTGAAATCTCTTTCGCTGTTTCACAATATTTATAGATTGTGCAATTCAGGTTTAGTAATACTATAGATAGTCAAATGTCTTAGAGAACAAAACACAGATTACCAGAAACTTAATTGTTGATGGCATAGGATGTAAGTACAATGTTAGTGATATTAAAAAAAAAAAAAAAAGATTAGGTAGAAAATTAAGGGAAAAAATTGGTGTCTATCTTTCAAACTCAGGATACTTAATATCAGATTTTTAGGTAAATATAATCTATTAATATGTTAAGCACATCTTACTTGGCTTTCCTTAGAATAGCCACCTCTAGTGCGGTCTTTTAAAAAGCATTTCTTATTCAGAAGTCTGCTCACTGAAAAGATTCTTTCTCAGTTTTCACTACGGTTAGTATAAAGCAACAGTCCATTTATTTATTTATTTTTTTGATTAGATGCTTCAGGACTTAGATCCTCTGCTGGCTAATAAGGTCAGTGCCCAACTGACGGGGCTGTGTAGAAAACCTATTGGTGCACATTGGTAAGCCTTCCTGGTATCATAGGTGTTTACTTTTGGAAAGTTGTAGTCCGTGTGGTGAACAACTTTCCTCTATAGTGCGACTGACCCTTTGGTCTCTTCTGAAGTTTAGGGCCTCAGTGATGAATGATAGTGTTTATTGATTATCTGCTTAAATAAAATAGTTTGGCTTTGCTTTTCTATTCGTTTTTCAATAGTATGAAGAGGCAGTCCTGTATCCCTGTATGTAGTTTACTGTTTTATAGCTGGGCCATCTGAATTTAATTTTTACCTTGAATTTTGTGACCTCAGAAGACTGGCTAGATATGTGACAAGCTTCAGTCTTGTGTCCTTAGTTCCAGTCTCATGACATTAGTTCCAGTTTTCCATATACTAAGCCAAGGAATGTTGAACAACACTGAATGGCATAGGATATCTTGTGGAAGGAACAGAGGGTCTCTTTGAAGGTGAGGTTAATTTACCCAAAGACAGGAGGTAGGGTTTTAAAGGGTTGAAGCAAGAGAGGTGGCAAAATAAGGTGTGAGAACTCTTGAACAAAGGGCAGTCAATTAAAGAAGGGAAAGGTAGACCATTTTGCTTTTCACTCTTTGGAAATGTTCCTTTGAGCTTGTTATATGCATAGCACTCAATCCTGTAGAATATCTCTAAGAAAGAAGTAGAAGACAGTTTCTATGAAACATTTTATCATCTGGTTAAAATAAAACTAACAGAAACACTGTCAGGGCTTAGGGGAAGAGTGGTATCTTTATGGTTCCATTAAGCGTGAAAATGTTTTACTATGTTTTGTTAAATATAGATTTTTTAGTTTAAATATACTTTAGAAAAACCCCACTTAAAAAAAATTGTCTGCTTTGGTGAAAAGGCTACTGTGAAAACCTAAAGAGAGTTGGTGCCTCTTCTTGTGATTGAAGAACCTTAATTTTTAATGCAATGCACTAGGCTTACAAACGTGAAAATATTTTGCCCCTTTTCTAAATTGAGCTGGTCACTAGAAGGCAAAATCCATGGATAGAAAATCCCATCTTCAAAAGTTGGTGATAAGTGATAAATTGATAGAGATAGGCATAATTTCTATATTACATAACTTTTTTTTTTGTTGTTTAACTCTGGTGTCTTGTACATAGTATTCCAAATCTGAATTATTTTTTGAATGTAATTTTTTTTAAAAAGACTTAAACGAAGATTGCATTTGTGTTTTCTTTGCCCCACTTGTCTTATCATGTCATTTGGAGCAATAGTGGATTATAATTCATTTCAGTTTTTTGTTTTTTGTTTTTTTTTTTTTTTTGGTATTGACCTCTGATTCTCTCTGGCAAAGAACTGTGCCATGATTTGAGGGATATTTATTTAAAAGAATTGATGAGATTGAGTTGTAAGTAATTTCCCATTGGTACTAGTTCATATTCTTGTGGTTATAGACCTGATGCCTGCTCAAGGACAAAACAACTTCAGCTTAATGATAGTTTACTTTTTTTTTTCTTTTTACGGCTCTAAAGATCATGAGATTCTTTTAATTGCCTCTTAACCACTTTTTTCAACAATTGAAAAATTGTTGAATGAATTGAAAAATTCACTGTCAAAGCCTTGAATCATTTTTCCTAAATAATTTGTAAATAAGCTTATATATTTTCAAATAGACTAATATTAATAATATTTTCTATTATTTTTATATCTCAACAGTAAGTTATATGTAACATTTATCCTGTTAATGCACACCTATTCTTATTCATGTGTTCTCTATCATGATACTGGTACCCTAAGACAGAAGATTGGGAATCCTTATTATACCTCTTTTTAACATCCAACCAATTCCAGCCTGCTTGCTTTTAAATATTCCTTGGCCAAATCTTCTTGTCTCTGCTCCTATTGCCAAAGCCTTGATTCAGGCCCTTCCTCTCATTTGGAATCTGTAGTAGTTGGTCACTTTTCCTCTTCTAATTCATTTTTCTTTCACCAGAAAGTTCTCGTTTTAAATAATACAGGCCATGTGCTAAGCCCTTACTAACTGTCAAAAGACTTCTGAAGCTCTACATTGTCTCAGATTAATACAATAAGCTTTTGGTCTGCTGCTGACAGGCCAGAAGTTGAAGGCCCACATTCTCCTCGGTTGGCTGTAAGCTAATTGTGTTCAGTTTCTGCCTCCCCACACCTTTCCTCACCTGTTGCCTCAGACCTGCTTCCTGTTGTCTTTGTCTGTCTTCTGTCAGATGTGTCCGTCATTCTTTTCATCTATTGTTTGCTGGAACCCAAACCTTTTTTGTTTTTCTATTAACAGTTAACCAGTTCACCCTAAGCAGATTGTATACAGGTCAGTCCCCCGTATTTGTATTAGGGGCATGTTAGTACTCTTTTTTTATGAGATTTGAAGCCTTTTTTTTTTTTTTTTTACATCTCAGATTTTAATTAGATTTCTCTTCTCTCAGTCCCCATAGCAGGTACCTTTTGTAGTCACAATGAACCTACCATTTAAATGAACTTATTCATAGTCTTTAACTTTTTTGCGCTTCTACCCTGATAAAAGGTTGTCTTGCAGTGGGGGGAACAACGCCTTTTTTGTCTTTTCTTCTTGTTCTGCCCACTTTTAGCCTCTACTTGATTATTTGGAATCTGACTATTCATGAAGATAAAATGGACTTTGATATCTGATTGTATGTACACAGGTTAAAGTTGAATATCTGTAACCCACTAGTTACCACAATGCTTTACCCATTAGGTGACTTTTGTCATATAAAGCTTCACCATCACATAGTAAATTTTCTATGCTGCTCTTCTTCTCTGCATGTAATAGTTGGGAGTTGAAAAGAGCATGAACTCACCTATCTGTATTTTGTTTTTGGTGCTCTAGGTCAGGATGGCTAACTGGCTGGCTTCCTACATGGTGCCCTACATCTACATCACACCTTAAAGAAGCTGAAGAGAAAATTTTAAAATGTAAGGTTTTCTTCTTGTAAGTTACATCACTTTGCCCTGAAACTGGAGATGAGATTCTGTGGTGTGTTAGTTTTTGGCAAAATAACATTTCCTTTTCCATGTCATCAGCAAGTACATCAGCAGAAATGTAGGAGGGCAGTGGTTCCCAAACTTTGTGCTCTTGTGTACCTGTTATATACCTTAATAGTAAGGACCCCAAGAAGCTTTGTTTATTGGTTGTAGTAATCAGTATTTATTATGCTGAGAATTGAAATTGAATAATTGAAAATATGTTAATTAATTTATTTTAAAATAATAGAAGTAAACCCATCATAGGTTAAAATAAATAACAGGTTGGTTAAAAAAAAAAACAAAACTACTTCCTAAACAAAAATGTAATGAGAAGAGTAATATTGTGTACATGTTTACAAATCTCATTAATGTCTGGCTTAATATGAGGCAGCTGGATTCTCATAGTTTCTGCATTAAGTCTATTAGGTAATCACATATCAGGTGACCTCCAGAAAACCCATTAGAGACTGAAAGTGAAAAAGACAAATAAAGTCTTAGTATTATTATGAAAATAGTTTTGACCTCCTGGGCCTTCTCAAACGGTCTCTCAGGAACACCCCTGCTCCCTCTGGTGTCCCCAGACTATAAGGTGTTCCAGAGCAGGCAGCCTTGTATAGTGGAACAAATATTAGAATGAAATCTGGTAACCTGGTCTAGGCCCACATCTGCCACCGGCACCAGGTGGTTACAGGATCTTGGGCAGGTCACTCTGCTCAGCTTCCCATTTCTCACCTGTAAAATGAGAGTAAGATAATCCTTAGAATTCTTTCATGGTTCTAGCATTCTAGGATTCTTTAATTTGGATTTATATTTGTGTAGAAGCCTTATTTTGTTTCTTATGAGCACTGAAATTTATCTAAACTTGTACTGTCAGAACATTCCCAGGTTTCTGTGGGTATGGTTTTAAGCAATAGTGTTTATTGTGCATTTTTCTTTTGCTGATAAAGTTTAGAGGAGTAGATTAAGCAATGTGGTTCATACACATGATTATTTTGTATGCATATAAAGATGTTTGTTTGTCCATGCCTGTTTTTCATCCTCTTTACCACTAATGAGTTTTCTTGTTTTTGCAATTGAATGTGATTCAAGAGTAAGTGACCATAACTGGGTATATCCTTAGAAAGGGATAATTAGCCATCTTACATGGATATATAATGTGAAAATGAATTTCTACTCACTCCATATACTTGGGTAATCTAGCTCTCTACAAAACTAGGAAAGTTGTCATTGCAGTTTACAAAATAAAAAAAATTCTTGTCTGGGGAAAAAAGGGTGCTAGATGCTCAATTTATGCATTTAAAAAACATTGATTTCTTACGGCTAGGTTCTAGGGATGCAAACAGGAGTGAGAATTGGTGCCTGTTCTGATATCAGACATGAAAGCAAGTGACTAATACAGTGGGATGAGCTCTCTAATAAACATTACAGATAGTTTTTATGATAATATGCAGACATCTGTGTTCAAAATGCTGAAGTGATTTGGCTTGGAACTATTGCCAAATCAACTCCTTTTCTAAACTAGTAGCATTTCACCCCACTTGGGGGCATGGGTTCTGTTAATATTGTGAATGAGTACTGGGTTTCACTTTGCTGCCACTATGTGGATGCCAAACCTGAGATTCTTTGGTTCAAAGGCAAAAACTCCTGTGTCTCCAATGTTTTGTGTACTGAAGATGAATATGCGGGGCAACACTGAGGGTTGCGATCCGTTGCCGGACACGGAAAAAAGACAAAAAAAACAAAAAACAAACAAAAAAAAAATAACTAAGGAGTATATTTAAGATGTAGCTTTTCAGTTGATAATTTAATGTACATAAATTGCAAATTTGGTTTCATCTTTAGTTATTTTTTAGGGCTGTTTAAATTATCTAGTCCCACAGCATTGAAGGTAAAGTGAGAGTTTTGATCTACAGAATTGTATTTGCATTTTCTGGAAGATTGCTGGACTTGAACTCAGATTACCTGATGCCTCATGCTGAGGAGTTCCTACCATACCATGTCACCTCTTTTCTACAAAACTTTGAAGTACCTTAAGATTTCACTTACATGTTGTGTTAGTCTGTTTCTGTTTCTTATAACAAAATACCTGGAACTGGGTAATTTGTAAGAAAACAAAATTTATTGCTTAGAGTTTTGGAGAGTGGGAAGTCCTAAGTCCAGGGAACACATCTGGTGAGGGCCTTCTTTGGTGGTGACTTCAGTGACACAGGGTATCACACACACATTGCAAGAAAGGCAGAAGCAAGAGAGAGCTAACCTACTCACTGGCTCTCCTTTTAAAGTCTACAGAACAATGCCCACGACCACCATTAAACCGTCAATGGATTAATCCATTTATGAGGGCATGATCCTCACAATCTAATCATCTTTTTGAGGTCCCACCTTTCAACTACCATAATAGGATTTGGGGATTAAGCTTCAATGAATTGGGCGGACAGTCAGTCCACAGCACATGTTTAATACAGATACCAATAATCCTTTTCTAAATTCATGATTACTTTTTAGGGAAAAATGATTTTTTCGAGTCTGACTTCAGTCTTCAATGCTTTATCTGTCAAGCATTCTACAAATTCAGGGTTATTCTTTTGTAATTGTTTGCAAAGCTAGAGACCTTAAAATAATGGATTCAGTGACCACTAAGTTTCCCTGCAGTTCTAAGACTGTAATACCCTTGTTTGATAGATGTGTAAAGAAGTCAGAAGGTAATATGACTTGCCAAAGACCTTGGCTGAAGGTGCTTGAGGCTTGTCTGAGGTAGTCCTTCCCACTCATATGTAAAACATGGTCATTTAGAATTATTTGCTTCAATAAAATATGTACTCTTTTTTTACGGCTGACATAATAAAGACTAAAATTATATGATTGGATACTAGATGATTTCTAGATTATTAATTTTGGGTTTCTCTGAGGATACTCCCCTTTTCAGAAGTATTGAAGCTAAACAGAATTTCTCTTTTATATTTTCATTAGGTGTCCCCTGCACATACAAAAAAGAACCTGTTCGCATATCTAATGGAAATAAAATATGGACACTGAAGTTTTCTCATAATATTGCAAATAAGACTCCACTTGTCCTCCTCCATGGTTTTGGAGGAGGTCTTGGACTCTGGGCACTGAATTTTGGAGATCTTTGCACCAATAGGCCTGTCTATGCTTTTGACTTACTGGGCTTTGGACGAAGTAGTAGACCCAAGTTTGACAGTGATGCAGAAGAAGTGGAGAATCAGTTTGTGGAATCCATTGAAGAGTGGAGATGTGCCCTAGGTTTGGACAAAGTAATCTTGCTTGGGCACAACTTGGGTGGGTTCTTGGCTGCTGCTTACTCACTGAAGTACCCATCAAGGTAAGTGATGGTGACAGAAGAGAGGGATTATAACTGGCATTCAAGTGCAGTCTCTGGTTCTCATCTCTGGTGGTCGTTGGCGTCTGAGTCTTACAAGGCACATATTCTCTTAAAGGACCCTATGACAGAAGAGAGGGATTATAACTGGCATTCAAGTGCAGTCTCTGGTTCTCATCTCTGGTGGGCGTTGGCGTCTGAGTCTTACAAGGCACATATTCTCTTAAAGGACCCTGTAGAACAAATAGCCACAACCGAGAGCCAATACAGTAGCTGAAATAATGATGTGAGATTTTCCTATTATACATGCAACATGTTGATAGGCATGAGAAAGGACTTTCTATTTGTTAAACTTAGAATTGTATAAAATGTAATATAATTTTAATATATTTAAATAAAATTTAATTTTATTATATTTAATATATTTAATATAAAATTTAATTATTTTAAGCCATAAGTAAAAATTCTTGTGTTATTGTTTATTGTTACTATTATCATTAAATTTATGGCTCCATCAGTCTTTTCCTAACCTTTTCTAAGTTATAGTAAGCTGTAGTGGGAAGCCAAAGGTTAGAAATTAGAAGATCTAGGTGCTAATGCTATTTTAGTGACTTAGAGCAAATCATTTTACCTCTAAACTTTATTTTCCTTATCTCTAAACTATAGAAAATATACCTTCATAGTGTATTTTACAGATTTTTTGATTATATTATGCCCTAACCTTACTAATTATAGAATTATTTTTCAGGGTCATTGAATTGAGAGTTTGCTTCAAAATCTTTCTAGCATCATCTCCTTTCTTTACCTTATATTTTTATGCTATTTCCTATTATTCAAGTAGCTGCTCTGAGTGAAGGTCACATTTGAGTGCTAAGAAAATATGAGAAAAACTCATCTTTGCTTTGCTCATCTTTTGATTAAAAAAATGCATATCAGCACTTTTGTGTTGCCAGTGTATTTTTCCATTGGACTAATTTTGAAATCCAGAATTACAACCGACTTTGACATTGAGGTCTGTGAGTGAGACATGGGATTGTGGCCATTTTCAGAGTGCTTCAGTGTACACTATGAGGCCACCCCACTGCACAAGTCCAGGTGTATGTCTGACACAGAATTTGACATGTGGAGCAGCAGCCCTGTGTACCCAAGGTTTTCTTCCTCTGGAACAGCTTTTGTTTTCCCCCCTCTATGATTCTTTATCTAAACTTCAACATTTACACCTGATTTTTCTGGAGAGATCATAGTCCCATATGTGCTATAGTAGTAGTCTTGTCAACTGGCAGACCTGTTCTTTCAAAAGAAACCCAGATTTTCTTCTAGTAGGTATTTTGGGATTAATTTCTCTTATTGTGTCCTACTCTTAGTGACAAACACCTAGCTATATTTGTGCAGAAGGGAAGAGAAGGATGTGGATATTTTTCTGGTATAAGGCAACAGTGCTATTTGTTGTGCTGGACTTTGTTTTTTATCAGGTGTTTATTATGTCTGTTTTGTATTTGTTCTCTGGAGATGACATGAGACTCTGTGGGATAGACTCTGGTCATTAAACCCCTAAGCCTTAGAATCTTTACCCTTCATAGCTATCTACTGATTAGGTCTGTTGGTGAGATTTTCATTTGCAGTTGTGAAATGCTGCAAAGGGCTTCAGGGATTCAGAAGGGAGCGAACACTTTAAAACCATCTATGAGAGAAAATAGCAACAAGTATCTAAAACAAAGCCAGTGCTACCTGTATAGGACTGACTGCGTTTTAGAAGGTGATTTTTGAATGTTTGTTTCTAATGCTAGAGATAAAACTAGAGTACTGTGTCAGGACCAAGAACCACTAAGTAATAGCAATAGATGGGTATGAGAGTTCTTGAAATAATTAGTATGTCTGAATTCAGCTAGTTGCCACCAAAGTATTGAACTCTACAGAACATGTTGGATATTCGAGCCTATATTCTTATCTGCATAAAACTTAAGTGATTAAACACAAGTTAATTTCAAAATAATGACATTCTCTGGATTTTCAGATATCCTGAATCATGAATGACGTCCAGTTAGTCAGAGCACGATGCTTGGCACATATTGGGTGCCCAGTAAATATTTCTTGAATAGTTGAATTTGAAAAATAAAGTTGTAAACCAAGTTTACCTTTTAGCTTACAGTTTCATATTCTTTGTTCTCTCTTTCCATCTTCCATAAAAGTATCAAGGTAATAAATTAACAAAAATGAGGAGCTGGTCATATTATACCTTTCTAATTTCTTTATGGGAGAAAAATGGACTTCAAATATGCAATTGTAAACAGGAAAGATTTCAGTTTTATGCCTTTTGGTTAGTTAATGCACACCTTAAATTAGTGTGAAAACAAGTTACAGTGGAAATAAAGGGATTATTTTGTGTGTATGTGTGGGAAAAAGATATTTGTGAGAATATTTCTTCTAACTCATCAATATAAATATATAATGTACATGGTTATTTTGCACAGTTAAATAAATTAACCAGCCATTTAAACCAATAACTTTAGTTAATTTAGAAGTGTGTTAAATCTTCAAAATAAAAGTAAGGTTTTAGAGTTTATTTTTTTCTTCCTATTCTTACAGACCAGCTAATACCAGTGTAGCACATAGTATGGGAAGGCAGGAGCTCACAATGTCTTGGTCATCCCCTTCTCCTTGGCTTTTTTACTCCATTGCTTTTCAGGATAACTTCCCTTGAAGCACTTCTCTTTCAATGGAGAGGAAAGGGAAAAATAAATAAGCATCTCTCTTTGTTTTCTGTGAGATGTATCATCTCTTGGTGCCTTTGGTTGGTTCTCACTGCCCACATATTTATTGAGATTACTATTAATGCTCCTCATTTTTGTTATTTTCTCACCTAAAATGAATTTTTTCTGTTTGATCCTGATTGGGCAAATTCATACAAATTTACATAGATGATCTGATATTATAGTTAATAGACCTGTTCAGTAGACTCACAGATCCAAATATAGTTAAAACAGGATTGATTACCACAAGTGTAACGTCATTACAGCAAACCTCATATTAAGTGAGGTTTAGTGTTCAGTATTTCTTCAATTAGGCACTCCCCCTAAGCAGACACGTTGCCTTCTGTGAGATCTAGAATATTTTACCTGAGCTAGAGAAGCTTCTCTGTGGCACACACACATTTTCTCTGGTGCAATAGACAGTCTGCTAAGTTTCAATGTAGCAAGTACAGAACTACCTACTCTCAATATCTCATCCATCTTTCTCTTGATCCAGGTAGCAATTTTATTATGCTGTCATGAGATTAAAATGAATCTTTGAGTTTCAGAAAGATTTCGGGGGGGGTGGTGGTGAGGGAAAGGAAAGAGTACTCTGGAGACCAAATGAAATTCAGATAATTTCCTTCACTCACTGTGCCACTCTCTTTCTCTCTTTCCCTTACTGAACTTTGAAACTGTTACTTTTTTCTTTGCCTCCTCAGGTGTGACAGATCTTTTTTTCTTTTAAGTGAAATGGCATCTCCTTAATTTCTGTTGTTCTATGCATGGAGGGAAAAATACCCACAAAAACATTGTTTTATTTGTTGGCAGAGTAGAACAAGCCAGCAGTAGTAGCCAAAGATGCCATCACCTTTCTTTAATCTGTGTGCTCAGTTTTTTCTTTTAATTTTTTTTTTTTTTTCCTTTCGCCCCTGCTGCTCAGGAACCCATAAAAAGACTATGTGTATTTTATAAGTATTTGTTATAAACTAAGGAAAAGGAGATTATAGAAACTTTTAACTTAGTGTTTAGCAAAGAGATCTATTCCAAGTTATAATAGAGTAGGTTACAACTAATCTTTACTTCTCTAGTAAAATGTTTTGAGCTAACTTTATCTGAACACTTTTCCTTTGACCTTGCTGTCTCCTGATTATGCAGACCTGGGCTGAGCAATTCTTCTTGGCCCCTCTATAAGAAAAGCTGTTCTATGACCTGAAGTTGGAAGGTATTTAGTTAGTTGTTCTCTGGGCCTTCCCTGTTCTCTCCCTAGTGGCTCAGAGTCAATGGGAAATACCTGGGGCAAACCTTTTGAGGCTTCCTTTGTACACTGAGTAGAGCTCTTTGTACTCTTTTTTCTTTTTCCATACTTAGGTCCTAAAGACTCCCTTGCACATTTTGATTCTGGGTCTCATTGTTCTTGTTGCATTATTTCTGACTGGTGGCTGACTAAGTCCCATGAAGGTCAGGTTTATATACCCTTGTTAACATTTAAATCCTTGTTAACATTTAAACCAAATGAAATACCAGTGTGTTGGTGCAGGTGTTGTTCATCTTAAGGCTTTGCCCTTAAGGCTGTAATCATCTCTCCATCCTCAACTCTAATGACTAATATCAAGAAGAATGACTTATTATGTTTCAAAACTGATGGGCTCTTCTCTTGTTCCTGCTCTGCTGGTTCTTTGTTTTTCCTGTGGTTTAAAGGAGCCTCCGATTCTTGACAAAGATGTCTGATAGGGTGACCCACATATGCTGTCTGGTTGGACCCATTCCTTACCCTAAGTGTGAACTAACAATCCCAGCAGGGTGTCTGTCGTCTATGGAATATTACAGTGTAGGGTTTGGATAATTATAACAGCTTAGGTATACATTAAAGCCAAATAATTCCTATCGAGTGAGGAGATAATCTTTTCACTACAAGAGGAGATAAGAAGATAGCCTGGGAACTTGGTCTGGTACAAGGTTATAATAACCTATGAGCCAAAACCTGTGATCAGGCTTTCCTGAAGAATAAAAGTTAAATTACTTGCTGCTCACCTGGTTCCAGCCACTGTTTTCCCATGCTCTTTGGAATAAATTCTGCTCTAGTAGTCTTCCTATTTTTGCTACTATAACTAGCTTACATTTACTGGATACTTATCATTTGATAGCCACCAACCTAAGTGCTTTGGATGGTTTATTTACAATAGTTACAACCAAAAATAAACAGCAATTATTTTCTGGAGTCTTTTACATGTAGTAGAAGAAGAAGATATGTAACTATGACTTAGATGTTTAAAAATTTTTCAAAATTTTTTGACCATGACCCTCAGTAAGAATTTTATGTGTGTGTGTGTGAGTGTCTGAAATGGAAGTTTTGTGGGACAGTACTCACACTTGTTATGATGTATTTTTCTATTCTAAATGATATAATTTTATTAAAAAACAAACCAGACTGGTTTCTGACCCTCTAAATGGATTTTATTAATGACCTGCAAGATTAATATAAGAAATAGCAGTGATGTAGTAATGTCACCTGGGAGACCAGAAAATTTCAGGCTGATCTAACTCCAGTGCTTATCTATGGTTATACTTTATAAAATTGGTATATTGTTATAGACAAAGACCAAAAGGAAACGTGGAAAAGCATAAAAATCCAAATGTTTGCTGAGCACCTGCCATGTACTAAGCACCATGCAATGTTTTGAAGACACAGGATTGAACAAATACAGGGACAATTTACTCCTTTTCAAAAACAAAAACAAAAAAGGTCATCTGCCCTAGTGTATATACTTTGCATAATTAGTTAAACTGACATTTCTACTTAGGAATGAGATTTTGAAGATCATATTAAACAAGGCAAGCCAAAACTAAGGCAAAAACAGAACAGTCACTTATCTAGAAATAGATGAGACTTTTCTCCCTAAAGTTTTCTTTTGTCCTGCCCCTTCTTGGGTTAGCAAGTCAGAAAGCACCTAGAACAGACTGGACAAGATCCCTTAACAAATTTGCAACAAAAATTTAACACTTTTAGGGTAGGGTATGTTTTAACAAAGAGTTTATTTTTCTTATTAGGAGGTAAATCAATAGTGAATAATACTGGCTGTTTCCTAGCATGAATCTTTGCTGCTTTCAACTAGGTGGCTATTTCATTAATTCCACTCAAACCTCTGGCATGCCTTCCCCTCGCCCCACTTCATATCTCATATAAAAAATAGTCTTTGCCACTGAAAAAACAAAACTCATTTCCAACCTCTTTCTTGTTTGTATATTATTAGAAAATATTATCATATAAAACTTGCAGGCTGTGAAGACACTTAGTGTAAGTATATGAAACTCTTACATATGTATCTCCATGCAGATTCATAGTTAGGATCTACAAATCTCTTCACTTTTATGAAATCTAGAGTATAGTGTAAGTACTGGCCTAGAGTTGATAAAAGTTAAGATTTACCTTTACTAATATGTTTATATTGTGTTGCTTAGCCTATTTTTAGGAGAGAAAGCCTTCTGTGCAATGTCTTGTTAGGATCTGTTAGTATGCTGGAGTGGGGAAATGTGGGTTTTAGCCTTAGCTGTACATTAACTAGTATGGTGTCCTGGGGTGAGTTACATCATGTGTCTCAGCTTCCTTCTCATCTGAGATGAAAGATTGGACTGAGTATTTTTCCAAGGGCCCTTAGACCTGTATGCTCTGGGTCTGTGCTCTAAAGCTTTCTTTTTGAAAAAATGTAATTAAAGGATGAGTTAATTTATCCTTATACATGCTGATAAAAATAATAAAACAGATTTTATATGAGGAATAATACCATCCATGCCCATGTTTTAGTTTCTTTCCCTTGTGACTTGAGAAAGGGACTTTACAGAATCATTGTTAGTTCATCCTCAGAGATTTTAGCTGACATTCAGTTGGTTGTTTTGGTTACAGTTGAACATTGTATTGTGTAGGAGGACCTTTGTGCTTTGTTTAGAATCTTTATGGTGTATGAAAGCATGACTCAGCCACATGGAAGTACTGCTGATAGTTCTGGTTTTCTTTCATTAGAAAGAAGTTTCATAAGATGGAAAAATTAAAACTATTAGTGATATGAAACAATTTTATAGGAAGTTAGATTAAAGATTTTCTGTCTCTTTGGTCAGTAGAGGAGAAAATCGGGAGAGGAATAGGAACAGAATGTAATGCTAGTATATAATGATGTCATGGGTAGGGTAGATAGATGTGTTCCCTTTCACCAAATTCCAGAATCGCAAATTAGGTTGTATATTTTTAGTTCATATTACATTGTCCTCATCTCATGTTTGTGAAAAGTTCATTTAATGTCCTTTTGAACCCACTTTAACTTCTCTTAAAAGGGTAGATAGATGTGTTCCCTTTCACCAAATTCCAGAATCGCAAATTAGGTTGTATATTTTTTGTTCATATTACATTGTCCTCATCTCATGTTTGTGAAAAGTTCATTTAATGTCCTTTTGAACCCACTTTAACTTCTCTTAAATTTTTAAAATGGTTGATTCATAGGAGATAACTATTATTGGTATCTGAGGCTATTTTATGAAAGTGTGATATTGATCTTTATTCATTTCTGCAGTGTCAACCTTGAGATGCATGGAATCACTGGACTTTTCTGAGTGGTCAGTGACATATACCATCTGCCAGAATGTAGCTTAGACAATAACAAATGCCCTCATTTCTTGTTTCTCAAGAAAACACAGTTATATACCATACTTTCACACATCTTTATTATCCACATTTAGATATATTAAAAATAATGCCACCTTTATACCATACACCTCTCAAATTGTACTGAATCTCAAAACTTTACACATAATAAGACCATAATATAACCTGTTTGGTCTCTAGTCTTCTCTTTATGTGGAGGTTTTTGAAGGTGGTTCATTCTACCTTTACTTTGTAAATCATGGTAGTTCTTTATAGTCTTAGGGTGAATTTACCAAATGAACTTAAATCTGTGCTTTCTCCAACAGGGTTAATCATCTCATTTTAGTGGAGCCTTGGGGTTTTCCTGAGAGACCTGACCTTGCTGATCAAGACAGACCAATTCCAGTTTGGATCAGAGTCTTGGGAGCAGCATTGAGTCCCTTTAACCCTTTAGCTGGCCTTAGGCTTGCAGGACCTTTTGGTGAGTGCTTGTGTCCTAGGAAAGCAAAATGGTTATAGATTAGCAATAGAGGAGTATTTACCAACCACCAGTGTTAGTCGAAATCTTAAAACAAATAAGCAAAAGAACCTGAATGCTGGGGCCGGCCCGGTGGCGCACTGCTACAGTGCGCCGCTTGGGAGCGCGGCGGCGCTCCCGCCGAGGGTTCGGATCCCACATACAGACCGGCCGCTCACTGGCTGAGCGAGGTGCGGGAGCAACACCGAGGGTTGCGATCCCGTTGCCAGTCCCAGTCCGGTACGGGCGTGACACTGAGGGTTGCGATCCATTGCTGGTCAAAAAAAAAAAAAAAAAAAACAAAAAAAAAAAGGAAAAAAAAAAAAAGAACCTGAATGCTTAATTTTTCTTCTCTTCCTCTAAGTACCAGGCCATGCACAAAGATGAATGAAATCAGGTTCTTGTCCTCAAAAGGGAGTCTTTATATTGTAAACAAGTAATTAGCAAATCAGAAATAGGGGGAAATGCTGAGGATGAGGGTAGTCAGTCTTGAACATTCTGAAAAAGGCTAAGCAAGCAGAGTGTCTTTAGGAAGTATACAAGTATCTCTGTTAGCCCAGAGCATAGGGAGAAGTGTGGAATGTTGACCTGTTGGTGAGCATTAGAGAGCATTTGGGCAATTGATGATATCCAGCTGGTAGATCACAAAACCTAATTTCATTGACCATAGGGTTAACAGGTACCACCACACTCATAGATTCCTTCCTTTCTCCATAATGTCAGAGTGTTGGGAAGATAAGTCATCCTTTTCCACAGACCTTTTGGGGACTCCTGATATATATTTCTGGTTATATTTTGAGGTGCCAGTGTTTAGTCTCTGATTTAAGTTTAATTGACTCTCAGCTGCTCTGTCTCAGCCCCAAAGCTATGGAAATTTTCTTCCCTCATTGTCACAGATGATGATGGTGTGAACCTCTGCCTTTCTCCCTTACAACTGTATCAGTTAGGAGTGCTTTTAGTTGCAAGTAATGAATACCTAAGTGGCTTAAGCCATAAAGCCTTTTATCATTTCCTTAACAAGCTTGCTGGAGGTAGGTGGTTTCAGCAGTTCTTCTGGTAGCTGGCTCATTGATGTTAGGGTTTGGATCTGTGTCTGTGATTCTCTTGACCTTTTTCCTCACTGTTGTTCTATGACTGCCATGGCACAGAACATCATCTCACAAAATAGCACTCTGAGCAAGAAGAAAGGAGAGCATGAAAAATGGCCCTTCTCTCCATAATGCTCTTTATCAGGGAAGAAAGTCTTCCCTGGAAGGCTCCAGCAGACTTTCCCTTATGTCTCTGCTCACGCTTAGTTCTCCCACCAGCAAAGAAGTATACATTTCTGTGATTGGCCAATCATGATTTGTTCCCAGGGGCTGGAAGGAGGGGCCTGCTTTCCTGGGCACATTGCTGTCTAATTGATACTGTAGAAAAGTTGGGTTCTGTTAGCAAAAAAAGGAGAGAGGTATAGGGGGTGGATGAGGGTGTGCAAATAACTGCTACATGGATGACTGTAGATTCTGCTCTCCTCTGCCCAGCCCTGGCCCTCCTTGCCCTAGAGCCATCTCTTTGTGTGGGGAGAGCAGTAGGACTGCAGGACTCAGAAGCGGGCATAGGGGTTGAATTGGTATCACACTACACTCCCTCATATTTCTTATAGATGATACTTTTTCCCTACCCGCAGTCTTTTCACCCCCTCTGTAGTAGAGCCACTCCTTCCTACATGTGCGGTCCTCCTTTGGTGAACTACTTCAAGAGCTTCATTTAGTCTATATAGTCTATATAGTCCTGAAGTGTAAGTGGATTTTACCGGATCACAGGTACACAAAAAGCAAATATGGGAAAAGCAAAGTATAAAAAGAAATTAGGAGCCAGTGTTATGTGAGGGAAGATACCTAGGAGAGGACCTTTAATGTCATGCCCTCTGTCTCCCACTTTTGCTTGCACTTGGGGGTTTGGGAGGTGATGTATCAACTGCATCATAAAAATTCTTGGTGGAACGGTATAATTCCTTCTAGTAAGGGAGGGCCAGTAAAGAAGTAAAACCTTTCTAGAATGGGTAGTGGTACCAGAAAGGGAAACCAGCCAGCCCCTGGGGCCCCAGAATGGAAAACTGTGGCAAGAAGAAGAAGACTTCTGCTCTTCATGCTCTTTCCCTTGGGGGCCTTGCCTCAGCCTTTCTCCTCAAGACTAGGGCTGGGAGCCACCGTGGATGACCTTAACAGAGAGTGTTGCTAGTGTTCCAAGCAGAAATTCTGAACTTATATTCCCACAGAGATATTTATATATCCCAGTTCACTTCATTTTGATGCTAATGCGTTGTAATTATGGAGGAAGTACAAGTTAATAAGTTAATTTTATGTGTGGGCTGCTCTGCTCACCTGCCATGTTTAAAGAATTTATTTTTCTACAAAATCAAGTCTTAGAAAACTAAGTTTCTGAGCTTCTTAAAACACATCTGTAGGCCAATATACAACACTCTTTAATTCTTATTTTAATTCTTTCTTAGGGAACTTGAGGAGAACAGCTTTCAGGATCTGTGCTTTTTTTCCACCTGAAATATATATTTGACATATATGTATATATATTTGTGTGTGTGTGTATGTATGCACATACCATTCATTAAATGAGCAGGCACTAAAACTTTCTATATCATTTTGTCTATAAGTTAATTATAATTTAAAACATACATGTTTTTATTTTCTGTTAAATAGGTTTAAGTCTAGTGCAGCGTTTAAGGCCTGATTTCAAAAGGAAGTATTCTTCAATGTTTGAAGATGATACTGTGACAGAATACATCTACCACTGTAATGTACAGACTCCAAGGTAAGGGTTACGATTCTAAATTTACTATGTTTATGTTTTAGACTTTCTTTTTTTAAAGTATGTGAGTAGCCCAGAGATTTTTATCAGTAGTTAAAATAACTAAATTTAAAAGGACAAGTGTCTAATACTTAATTTATTCATCTATTCGTAGAATACTTACTATGTAAAACATTATGTTGGGTTCTGATAGGAAATTCAAAAGTAAGATGTACTTTCTTCCCCCAAAGTGCTTATGGATAAGATGAAGAAGTCTTGGTCTTGAGCATCTCTTAGAGGTGGTCTGAGCTGAGTGTCAAAGAAGAATTTCACATAAGTCAGTATTTCCCAAACTGAGTATGAATGTTCAAAAAAAAGGGGAGGGGGTACTGAATTAAACAAAAGCAAATGGATTTGTGCACCTTGGATCTTATTAGAACCTTTACTTTACCAAAGGATTTTGAATCTCCCAAGTGCATGGGAGATACTGTGCAGCATTTTTCAAGTTCGTTTGATGATTGCACCCCTCTTTTACTGAGTAGCTCTTTACATCTGTAGATCAGTATGAGAAACACCACCACAGTGGGTAAGGAATAACTGAGGGTTGGGTGGAGTGGGGGAGGGATTCTGCATGTATTTTAACATTAATTAGAAGGAGAGAGAGAGAGGGAACGTGCATGGTAGCCAGAGGGAGCAAGAGGGCCAAACATGTTTTTTAAAAATATGACTTATGGATGTTGGTGCAAGGTACTAGTGGAGAGAATAGAGACTGAAGATAGTGGGAAGATAGGAGGAGGGTGAACGACAACGTCCTAGAGTTTCTAGGAGGAGCATCTGGATTGGAGTATGAAGAGGAGAGCTGCAGTCCTAATGCTTTGTTGTGTACCAGAATTATTGGGGAAGCTTAAATGTGACTCCTGATCCCTATTTCTAAGATTCTGACTCAGCAGTTCTGGGCTGCATATTTCAGATGACTCTAGTATAGGTGGGCCATGGACCATGCTTTAAAACATAGAGTGTTACCTTATCCTTTTTTTTTTTTAAACTTGGGTGAAAGGCTAAGAGACCAGATTCAGAGACAGCCCTCCTCCCTTTTTTTTTCCATCCCTCACTGTGGCAGAAAAGGTGTACACTATTTTATTAAAAATACTGAGACCTTGGAAGCAATTGATAGGTGTAGTTGTAGTCTCAATCTTTTTAATAAAGTAGGTTAGAGTTCTCTGCTGGGAGTAGGGGGGGCTGGCAGTTTGGTGTCTTCAAGAGATTGAGGGTTTATGACTTGCTAGGCAGTGGGTCTGGTAGATTAGGTTTACATACTTCATTGACTTATTCCAACAGTTTTTAGAGCTGTGTCCCAGGAACATCATCCATATTTCTGGTTGGTCTTAGTGTTTTACTCCACTGACTCTCATTTCATGATTACATGTGCCCATGTAGTCTTAGTTTGTTGCCGTTCTTGTGGTGAAACTCAAATTCTTCAGAAAAGGCAATTCAGAATGATGCCTAGTTCTGCAAGAATAGCAGACATGAGAGCAAAATAGACCTATTTTGGGAGATTGCAAGAATGCATAATTAATTTTCTTTTTAACTTGGTAATGGTTTTGCCATTGCAGGTAAAAAGCTGGTGCCGTGTACCCATGGAAAAGCTACATTCTATATCAGTTTGAAGTAATTTAGAATGAAAAAACATATTTTACTATCCCCACAAGAAATAGTTTAATAATTTAATGATAGAGAATTAGAGGTGCATGTTTGGGTTTAGAAGAAGGTACCATTTTTTTAATCAACTAGAGTATACAGCAGCCTTGTTTATCTAACAGTGATATTATCTTCTGTGAGATTTGTTCCTTACACTATCTAGTAAATTATTTCCTATTTAAGCTGAGGTTTTCTTAAATGCTAGAAAAGCTAAATATGAGTGTGTTTTGATAGAAGTAAGAGTGCAATGTATACTTATCACCAAAAGCTATACAGTGTGATTTTCCCCTTCCCCTTAAAGTGGTGAGACAGCTTTCAAGAATATGACTATTCCTTATGGATGGGCAAAAAGGCCAATGCTCCAGCGAATTGGTAAAATGCACCTGGACATTCCAGTTTCAGTGATCTTCGGCGCCCGCTCCTGTATAGATGGCAATTCTGGCACAAGCATCCAGTCACTACGACCACATTCATATGTGAAGACGATAGTAAGTGTGTGGCTTGAATTAGTTTTCAGTTGTAAGTGAAGTCTATTTTATTACCTCCCTTAAACGAGGTTTTAGATCATCCCGTGATTTCGCATTTGACCTGTGCGGCAGCCTCAGACAGAGACCTGATATCACATGTGATGGGGATAAGGTTTGACCCACGTAAATCTTCATGTCCAAACAGTGAATCACCTTTCAAGGAGCCTTTCCTGTCCCTAGAGCCACAGCATCTTAGCATTAGGAGACACTGAAAGAGAGACTAGTCCAGTAGTACCTCAACTAACTCCCACCTCACAAGGCAGCACATTCTCACTTTGTTCCTTTTATTAGTGGTCAATGTAGTGATTTTTTTTGATATTAAAATTTTATTAAGATTCAGTAGATTTTCCTGTTCTCAGCTCCTTTTGATGGAAATACTTAATAGTTACTACAGATTAGTGTTACTTATTCTTTTATCTTATGTTTTATTTAAATATAGTAGCTCTCACTTTTATTGCTAAGTGCCTTTGCTTATATATCATTGTGTTTTATTAAGTACTTTTACTCACTGACCATCTGACTGTTTTTCCTTACCTAGGCTATTCTTGGGGCAGGGCATTATGTATATGCAGATCAACCAGAAGAGTTCAATCAGAAGGTGAAGGAGATCTGTGACACTGTGGACTGAACACACTGAAGCCATTGGGGAAAAACCTGGTGATTGATACAGTTATGCAGCAATAATTCATAGTCTACAATGAAGAGTAAGGAATCAAATACAAGAACTAGGCAGTCTACTTGACTGTACTTTGCACATATTTTCTTTATGAAGTTGCTTGCACATTTAAACCAGTTAGTGCCTTCTAGAAGAACGGCTTTCCTTTCTCCTACACAAAATTGAAATACATGAGAGTCTCCAAATTTGATAGCTTTAAATAAAAGGTTATCTGTCCCTCTGATGTACTGAAAAATTGTTATTTTTCAACTGAATTTTTTTTTTACTTTAATCTAACTTTGCTAGTTGGGTACTTTTTATATTACAGTCTATATTGCCAATTTAAGGAAGTGATTTCTGGGTCTATTATGTTATATACTGTAAAGGTGCACTTTATTTTCTTTATTTTCTACATGTATTTACCATTTCTAATAACTGATATAGTTAATACAAATTCAGTGTAGTTTTATGTAAAAGTTTGTCAGTTTAGAATACTTCATTTTTGAAATGGAGTGACAAGGCAGGTTTTTAGTTAAAAGGATGAGAATTGATCACTAGCCATTAATTTTTCTGGTTTTCTGTTTTATATTTAAAGCTGCAAATCCATGTTCAACATTTTAAATGCGATTGATCCTGACATAATCTACAACAACATGACTCCTTGGAACCTTCTGTATATAATTCTACACTTCCAAGGAAATATGATATTAATACTTAAGTGATTCAAGTACTGAAAGGCCTTAACTAAAAATCTATCCTTATTTTCTGCCCATTAATGCTGTTCTTTTTCATGAATCCAAATGCAGCAAACAATAGATTTCCTTACTTAAGGGGATATTAAGACTGTTACCTTCCAGTAAGCCAAGTCATATCATATTTTCATTAACATCTAACTCTTAAAGATGGGTGCTTAAACTGGATTACATTTCTACCACTAAAATATAAAAATGGGTGGTGCTATTATGTCTCATGGCACCAGAAATGAGCTAGAACTTGGGTTTGTTTTTTATTAAGAGTATCGTGTTGATCAAATCGTTACATACTTGAAGATATATTACAAAAATTCTATAAGATTGATTGAACTGTTTGATAATAACTAACATCAAGTATAGCACTTTCTTGTGTTTTTAAAATGAGGAAAACTTTGAAGCTGTAAAAAAGCTCCATGTGGTAACTGGCTGCTGAGAAAGCCCTCCACAAAAGATAATTGAATATGATTGTCACCAAGGCACCTTTGCCTTATGTTTTGATAACATTGCTTATCTAGGAGAAAAGTGGTTATGTAAATAAAAGCAGTGAACTAGTGCAAATAATGGTTTAATGGTTTGCATTGTAATTTTTAAATGGTTAATTAGGAAATTTGTAGTTTTTAGGAAATGTAAGTTTTTATCACTATTGATTAACTACCAGAAAGACTGAATTTCTATTTTTCAACATTATCTCCACTACAAAAGAATAGGCAAATTATACTGAAGTGTGGTATACAGCTTTCCAATGAACAATTTGTCTCACTTGTCATATTAACTGGGTTAGTGCAAGAAGGCAATGTAAGAGCCAAGATGTGTTGTCTGATCTCTCTTTTTTTTGTGTGACCAGTAAGGGGATCGCAACCCTTGGCGTGGTGTCGCCCACACCACGCTCAGCCAGTGAGCGCACCAGCCATCCTTATATAGGATCCGAACCTGTGGCCTCGGCGCTCCCAATGCCGCACTCTACCGAGTGAGCCACAGGGTCGGCCCCTGATCTCTTTTAAAAACAAAATTAGCCTTTACTTTTTAGTTAATGTCTTGGTTGGCCAGATTCAAACCTGTAAGTGGTACACATAATTTGGGAAATATTTTTGTATTTTTGTATGATACACTGTCTAATCTCTCAATTATCTTTTGCTGGGTGAATCCCAGTTTTCACTTGTACAGGAAGGTTTCTGTATATGAAACTTGTTCTCAACCCTAGGAGCGAAGGTACTTGGTTCACTTAGTGAATGGGGTTTCTGGTCATAGATGTGCCAAGTGATTTAGGAAAAGGTATACTCAAATATCAAGCAAAACTTATTTTCCTACTAACTGAATTTGCATTATTTGAAAAATGTTGTCATAACTCTTCTTTTTCTTTTTTTGGCATTTGGCTGGTATGGGGATCTGAACCCTTGAGTGCTCGGTGTTATCAGCACTGCACTCTAACCAGATGAGCTGACAGGCCAGCCTTTAACTCATAAGTTAAATTTTACCTTGGAGTATAATATATGTAATTTTGTGAAGATTGAGCTAGCAGAGAATGTCACAATCCTTGAATTCCTGAAAATACAGTGGCTGCTAAACGTTTTCTTAAAAAAAAAAAAAATCTATTACAGTATTTGATCTTTGCTAAGCG